TATCCTTTCTTTTTTTATTACAAAAAATGTTTTAATTGATTTCAGTGAGTGGCAGTGAGAGGGAGAGAAAGCTAGAAACATCATAGGTGAAAGAGATCTATTGATCAGCTGCCTCGTGGAAAACCCCAACCTGGGCATGTGACGGAATTGAACCGGTGACCTCTTGGTTCATGGGTGGACACTCAACCACGGAGACAAACCGGCCAGGACCTGTGTACATTTCTGAAACCAAATACCTACATTCTTGCCTTATAGTGTTTGACATTTTAAAATACACCGTGAAGTCAAGAGACCAATTTTCTAATGGGCAGTGTCAGCCTGACAAAGTGGGAATAACCTGGGGTTAGGGAGGCGTGAAGCCCCGCCCCTCATCAGCTCCCATGATCCACCATGGCTCCCTCAAGACGGTTCCCACTGGGATTTAAACCCAGGCCCGCCTCTCTGGGCTCACATCCTGTCAGAGGACAGCAGTGTGTGGACCGCTTTTTCTGAGCCACAGCTGTAAGTGAATTTTGAGGAGAGAGGACAGAGCACTAGGGAAGTCCACGTCTGTCTGCTTTGTTAACTTCCATGTTTTTTTGGAGGACACACTCCCACACAACACACACACACACACTCACACACGCATGCACACCCCTCCCTCCAATGCTGTGTAGTCTGAAGAGGGGGCAGAGAGTCTCAGGAGCAGCACGTTTGTCAACCACTCTGTACCTGAGGGGACTGGGTCATGTCTGACTCAACCTCTGAATGGTCCCCAAGCCCTGAGTTACATTTCAGCAATTTTGGAAGTTGACAATGTGAAGACTTTGCACACTTGTATCAGATTTACTCTCTCTAAATATTTGGTCTTCCAGGCTCCTCATTATCAAATTGGATCCGGTTCACCTCCACTTTCTTCCTAGGTATGGCTGCTGATGTCAATAAACAGAGAGCATGTGCTCCGTCAGGGCCCTGTGCTGGTCACAGAGTGCATAGCTGCCAACAAGGCAAACATGGTTTAGTCTAGGGCAGGGGACAGACATTAAAGGGATAAGTATTGAACTCTTTTATAAAGTGCATGAAAGGGGCCCAAAGGGAGTCGGTAACAAAGAGATTTCACATCATCTCAGGAGTGAGTGAGTGAGTTCCCCAAAGAAATGCTTTTTGGGATGACACCTGAAAGATGAGGCCATAATCAATAGTTCATGGCATAAATGATGTGTGTGTGTGTGTGTATGTGTGTGTGTGTGTTTGTGAGTGTGTGTTCTAAGTGTCCTTTTGAGAAGAAAAGAGGGAGGCTTTTGTGGTATGTCCTTTGAGAAGGAAAAAGGGAAGCTTTCGTGGTAGTTGTGGGGCATGTCTGATGATGCCAATGAATTTAAATAATTTAGTAAGTACTCAATCACCGCATACAATTCAGGACCCACACTTGGTTGTCAGAAGTTCCTGCTCCAGGCTGCTTTGAGCCCACTGAATGTAAGCAGGCAGGAATCTTTGTGCAGGCCTGAGTGATGGGATGTGGAATGTGCATCAGTTGGCAATTCCTGATACAAAGTGTTTGAAATTCCTCTTCACATGCAACCCAAATCCAGACCCAGTTACAAACCACACCTGCACTTTGATAGGTTCTTCCCTGAGCCCTGGGTCATGTGGTGAATTGTTTTACCCCAGATCAGTGCCTCTCTTGCCCCTCTAGACTCCTAACCCTGAGAACACTACCTCACCCTGTCCCAATCCCAGGTGAAAGGGGACTTGAGCAAACAATAAAGAGTTTTCCTTCGTATTTCCAGATTTAAGGCTAAATGTTTTTAGTATTTAGAGACTGATTTTTCAACATTGTTAATGAATTCTTCTTACTACATAAGTGAAAAGTATTATAAGATTCTCATGTTCACATGTGCTTTTGGTCATATGGACCAAATCTGATTAAAACCTTCATATGTTCCTGAATTTACGATGTACCTGTACTTCACTTTCCAGGAGAGAAATTAGGCTTCAGAGGAAGAATTTGTGTGATCACTGGTGGGTGATTGCAGGTGTGGGCAGGTCAAAGGGCTCAGAAACGTGGGTCCTACCATATCATGGCCCAACAGAGAGTCTGATACAAGAAACGTGCTGGAAAATAGCAAGTTGAACAAGTACTATAGGCCAGTTCCTGTGGCTGTGCTGGATCTGAAAACAATCCAAACTCAAGGGGAGAACTTGCTTCCACAGGCTTTCCAGTCCCGAGTGGACACTTTTGTCACTGGATGGTGACCAGGCCTGGAGTGGATAAACCTCGGGCCCACTGGTAATGTGTGGGTTCTTGACTGCATGCAGGAAGGATTTCACAACACAAGTTGATGGTGAGACTGTTTATTGAAGTTGTGGATAGTGAAACAAAGGGAGGGCTTAGGATAGATGAAGCAACAGGAGAGCCAAGGCAGGGGCTGCTTGGGTTCATTGGAAACATTACCAGGAATTATGTGGACTTAGGCGGGGCTGTATGGGTTCACTAGAAACGTTATAAGGAATAAGTGGGCCAAGGCAGGGCTGATTGGGATCACTAGAAAAGTTACCAGGAAGAAGTGGACCTAGAAAGAACTGCTTGGGTCACTAGAAATGTTATCGGGAAGGCATGGACCTAGGCAGGGCTGCTTGGTTTACTAGAAACTTTATCAGGAAGATGTGGACCTAGGCGGGTCTGCTTGGTTCACTAGAAACGTAATCAGGAAGACGTGGGCCAAGGTTGGGTTGCAGTTACTCACTGTAAAATCAGAGAAAGATGGGGCTGGAGACAGCTGTAGGGGGGGTCCGTTATATTTTAGGTGATACACACTCTGGAGGAAGGAGAGAGGAAAGAGTAAGGCATGAGTGTGCTCCCAGCAAGGAGAGGGCTCATGCTGGGTCCTTTGTTTTGAGGGTTTTGAAGGCTGGGAGTTTAGGGGAGGTCTTAGGGGAGATCTCAATAGAATATTCTTGAGTTTTCCATGTGTTTCCTTTCAGGGTCATGGTCTCCTCTTGAATGGTTGGCACCAGTCATCACAGCTGGTCCTTATGTGGTCCTCTGGGTTTTGCTGCTTTTCTGAGCCTGGAGTTCAAATACAATAGAGGCCTAGATATTATCTCTAGAGAGGCGACCTTCTGAAACTGGCTGTAAATTGCTTGGCTAGTTTGTTCAGCTGTCTGTCTCAGTTTCCCCATTCCACTTGCCAAAGAATTTTCCTAGCTTCTTACTATTTTGCCTCATTCTGACAAATGTTGCTTCCCCCAACTTAGATCAACAATACATCCCAACAAATAAAGATAATTTTTCATCAAAGGTCTCACCATTACTAATGACTTAGACCTATCTGCCATGAGGATTTTCTCAAGTAATAAAAGAAAATATTCCTACCTGGTCTGCTTCTCCTGTGGGACTTGCCTGCCTCTGACCATGTTGGGGGATGGAAAGGGCCTGGCCCAGGAGACAGGAGTCTGTTCAGTAATGAATTTGTCTATGACTTGGCTGTGCCACATTGCAGAACTCACTGTCTTTCTTTAATAGAAGAGTAATTTTCCTTCTTTACTTCCTTTTTCCTTATCTCCTTTCCTTCCCTTCTTTTCCTTTATTTATTATGGGAAAATTCCATTTCAAACATAACCAAATGTAGAGACAATAGTACAATAAGCCCTCATGTACTCATCAGCTTTAACGGCTATCATCATATAACCCATCATGTTCATCCATGCCTCTACTCACCTCACCTCTGACTTCTTCTTGTTCTTTTTGTAATCCTCACACTAGGATATGTGTATTGTTTTTCTTTTTTTAGAGAAGGGGGGATGGATATGGAGAGAGAGAGAGAGAGAGAGAGAGAGAGAGAGAGATTGCTTCCTGTATGCGCCCCAAATGGAGATCAAGCCCAAAATCCAGGTATGTACACAGACTGGGAATCAAACCAAATCTGAAACTTTTTTTTCCAGTGTACAGGACAATGCTTTGATCAAGTGAACCACTGGGCTAGAGCACCCCTTGTTTTTTGGGTTTTTTTTTTAAGCAAATTCCTAAACATCAGTAAATTCATCTGTAATTATTTCAGAATTACATAACTTATCTATTGCTGTTGTCTAGTTGCTAGAAACAGTAATGTATCTGTGAGATCATGATTTTGTGGGTTGACAATTTGGGTTGGGATCAGCTGGATGGTTCTTATGTAGGTTTTGTCTCATCTACCATGAGGGTGTAGTAAGCTGGTGACTTCTTTAGGGTTGGACAGTCCCTGAAGGCCTCACTCACATATCTGACAGTTGACCAAGGAGCCTTCGTTCTCCACCTGGCCGCTCCAGCAGGTTTGCTTGAGCTTGCTCCCATGGTGGCAGTATTCCCTGAGCTCCCTGTGGCAAGAAGCAATCTTTTAATTAAAAAAAAATTTTTAACTTTACTTTTACTGTTGACACAGATGCCCCATTCCCCCCACACACACTTTGCCAACCTGAACCCAACCCCTGACCCCCTTTTCCTCTCACCATCACCTCACTGTTGTCTGTGTCTATGTGTTATTCATCTATGTTCTTTGGCTAATCCCTTCACCTCCTTTCATGTATTCCTTCTGGTAAGTGTGAGTCTGTTCCATGTATCCATGTCTCTTTTCTATTTTGTTCATCAGTTTACTTTATTCATTACGTTCCACTTGGAAATCTTAATGTTGAAAAACTTTCTGGTTTAACTTGTGTTTTATTGTTTTATTTAACTTTTTAATGACTCTAAAATGTGTCATTAATTGAGTGTGCTATAATTTATTGAATAGGTCATCATGATTAAAACATTTTTAGTCAAGTGTTACTATTACAAATAACTTTTCATTTTAAAAGAATGTGTACCTTTTGGGTGGTTTCTGCTCTGAGGGATAAATACTTGGTGAGAGGCACGTAGGCTGGATTATAGACCCACTCAACCACTCCTTCCATCACCCTTACTTATGCATTGTTCCTGCTAATCCTTCCTCACACACAATTTCCTCACCAAAGTTCCTATTGCATCACAACACAACCTTTTCAAGGACATAGTTGTGATTGATTCTATTTATGATACCCCACACCTTCTCACCTGCTGGGAATCTTTCTAGAAGAGACTTAGAAACTGGAAGGAAGCCAGAGGGTGGGGCTTCCAGAAATTATTTATAACCTGCCACTTGCAGACATCACACACACAACTGCACACGATTTGGAAGAGCTTCCCAGCAGAAGGCACAACAATGGCACCCTTACCGGTGAGTTGAAAAGGCACAGCCTTCAATGATCCCAGGTCCCATAAGAGAAGGAGGAAAGAGTCTGAGATTCTCTGAGATGAAAATATTGGGAATGTTTTACTGGGGGTTGTAATGTGTGGAAGAGAGAGGATGGGGCAGGATATTTACTGGAAGCATTTGGTGGTATCTGACTGAGAGTGAACTCTATTGAGACACTGTGACATTGTGTGGAAAGTGACGGTTGACTGGGATGAGGGAGTGTGTGCATGGGTGCAAGGGGTGAGATTGCACATTTGTCTTCATGCCTCTGAGTAAGTGTGTGTGAGTGCAGCTGGGGCAGTGGCTGAACAGCTGTGCATGTCATTATGAGTAGTAGTTTTGGGAGGTATGTGTGAAACGGTGAGTCCCATGTCCTTGTGTAACTGTGTGTATGATGATCTATGCCTGCGTATTGAACTGTCATGTGTGCAGCTGTGTCTACTTGTGAGGGTTCTCCCATACATGGTAGTGACTGTTTAAGCAGTGGTCTTTCCATGTGTATCATTGTGGCTCCTGGTGGGAAGAACTAGAGGTCTTGGAGAGATTGGGTTTCCCAGGACTCCTCCCTGAGCATTAATGAGAGCAGAATGAGTCAGTCCTCAGATGCCTCTTCTCAAGAAGGCTGGGGGAAGATGAACTCAGACTCTGCGTCACAGGAGCTCCTGTCTAGATCAACACACAGTGACCCCCTCTCCTACCTCAGGCCTCCTCCCCCAGCCAGTACTTCCTTTGTCTTAACAAAAAAAAAGTAAGCAGATCCTGGCTCTCTGGGGAAGGTGGTTGGGAGGACTGGTTTCAGAGAATGGATCACCTGAAGATGGAAGGCACAATACTAGCCTCAGTCCAGACAAAGCTTACAGTCGATATCAGGGAACAACCTGTAGATTCTATCTAATTACTTTCCTGTCTCCTGCCCTGTGTGCAGGTACTGACTATGCTCAGCAACTTGTACACATTCCTGAAAGGACACCATTGCCCTTGAGAATTCTGATGCATATACATGCCACACACAGCTGTCTCCTTTTCCATTATTTCCCTCGCCCTTTAAGCAACTATCTTATATAGGAGTGGATTTTTATATATTACTGAGGCCCGGTGCACAAAAATTTGTGCACTTGGGTGGATCCCTCAGCCCGGCCTGTGCCCTCTCGCAATCTGGGGCCCCTTGGGGGCCCCTTCCCCTGGCTGCTGGCACCAGTTTTCCTCTGGCGCCCAGAACCCAGGCCTTCGCTCTTCGCCAGGAGGGGCCTGCGTGGTGGGCGAGGGGCTTAGCTCTTTTAAAAATACTTCTGAATGTTTGGTAAATAACCCTGTAGGAATCTACTTTCTGAAACATGCTGGTTGTTAAGGGCTGATTTGGGTAATCAACAAAATGTATGTTAAATTCCTAAACCCCAGAACCTCAGAATGTACCTGTATATGGAGATAAGATCTTTAAAGAGGGGATTACATTAAATTGAGGCAGTTCCAGTGTGACTCTTAGCCCATCTCACTGAAGTCCTTATAAGAAGAGGAATGTTGAGGTCCAGCCCCAGCAGGTCCAGACGTTCCCAAAGGTGTAGACGGAGTTGGCGAAGAAGGAATGACACAGGCAGCGTTCAGGTGATCATCATAGCCAGGTTTTCTGTTTATTGTCCTGTTACATCTATATTTATACTATTTGATCCTATAAGCATGCCTCTATAAGCTTTTTTTTTTGCTGAGGAGAGCATGGGGTCCGTTTATTGGGGGGTCAGTCAAAGGGGGAGCTGGCTAGGCTCAGGTAGGCCAGCAGCTTGTCTGGCCCCCAAAAAACCCAACTTGAGTCCAGAGCCTAGACTGCTTTGAAGCCAAAGTCTTCCTCCACCTTTATCTGCACTGGGGCCAGCTCCGCAGTCAGCAGGACGCCCGCCCGGACCCCTCCCGATGGCACTCGCCACCTCTTCTGCCCACTGGGCCCCTTGCCAGGGGCCGGGCTGCTGGCTTCTGTGGGCGCTGGCATTCTCCTGGGCGGGGACAGACCCTCTTTCTCCGGAGGCTCGTTCTCAGTGTAGCCTGGGGTGGGGGCATCTGTGCCCTGGCTGCCATCATCCTCCAGTAAGATGGTGAACTGGCTGTCCCAGTAGTCGTCACCATAGGAGTCCAGCACCCTCATGAGGAACCTCTGCTCCTGCTGGAGTCTCCCTGTTATCCTCTATATCTGATGGAGCCTGTTCATGACATGCTCGTTCACCTGCTCGATCTCCCTGCAGCGCCGACCCAGCACCTGGTACTTCCTGCAATTGAGTTCCCCTTGGCACCACAACCGCTGGCCTTGGGCTGCCTCTTCCTCTTCGTCTGGCTCCTGGAGGCTGGAGCTGCCCAGACCCCCAGACACGAACTCCACTTTGGTCTCAAGCTTTCTCTCCAGGATGTGACCATGGAACAGTGGAGGCAGCACCAGCTCCCAGCAGGGAGGTGCTGAGAACTCCTCAAAGCCCACAGCTGCCATGGACCCCTCTCTCTGCTCCAGCTCCATTTCTCCCTGGCTCCCCGCAGAACTTCCAACCTTGCAAGCCTCTTAAAGTGCAAAACGACTCGCCCCATCCGATTTCATGGCCAGGCACACAGGCCCCGGCAGCTAAGCCTCCTGGGAGTTGTAGTTCTCTATTTCCCCAATCACTTTCCTCGCCCCACCCCCACCCTGAGTCCCCACTGAAAGGCCCTGCTTGCTGGTCTAATGATGTTGGCCAGGCATCTGAATCACCTCCATCTTTATTCCTGTCCCGACACCGCACAGTCTGACCATGGAGACTCTCCGCTTGGGAGGCCCCTGGGTCTCCTTCTGGGGCTGGGGATGCGCCACTGCCCAGGCACCAGATCACGTTCCCCAGCGGCGACACAGCCCTGGTCCCTGGGTCTCCTTCTGGGGCCTGGCTGCCACCCGGGATGGATCGTGTCCCCAGGCAGGGATGCAGCCTGGCCTCTGGCCCCACCTCTAGGTGTTCTCCAAACACTGGTGATCAGTGATATGAGAAGCCCAGCTGGGCAGGGAAGAGGCAGACATCCCCTCTTCTCTGCCTCACCCGGCTTCTCCAGTTACCGGCCCAGGGCTGGCAAAGGTGTCCCAGTTCTCCAGCTCTTGGCTGCCACCTGGGTTCTACACCGGCAGGTGGCTTCTTCCATCCTTCCCCTTTTGCCTCCAATCATTGTGTCTATGTATGCAAATCAGCCGCTGTCTTTGTTGGTGGTTAACTGCTATCTTAGTTGGCAGTTAATTTGCATATCGTCTTGATTAGCCAATGGGAGGAAGGGTAGCGAAGTTATGGTTAATTACTATGTTTGTCTATTATTAGATAGGATACTATTACATTCTAAAGTCTTATCTTCACAGTTTCAGATAAAAACTGATGGGAGGGTAGTATCCCAGAAAGGGCCCTTCCCTTCCGCTAAGTCACCCCTGTATAGATCCTTTACCTGCCAGTGACCATGCCAAAGGTTTACAACTATTAGTTCAGATATTTCTGAGAACATCCTATGAAATAGAAATTTTTATAATCCTTCTTATACTGAGAAAATGGAGGCAGAGAGCACTCAAGTAATGCAACTCAGTTCTCATTGGTAGTAAGAGGCAGAATAAGCATTAAATCCAGGCCACCTGGCTTTGGAACTCTTACTGTTAACTTCAACCTTATCATTTCTTCAAAGACACAGGGACCTGCCTGTGGTGAGATGCAAAGAAGAGTGTCCTCCGCTTATGTCCTTTGATGTATAACCTGCTTTGCCACTGGGAACGGTTATAGGATGGGAGATCACACCTGGCCTTGCCCCTCTCAACTATTCTTGTCTCTCATGGCAGGTCCCACATACAAAATATGTGTCCTTGCCTGTTGGTTCTTTCGTGAAAATCAAAGGGACACCTGCCATGTCTTTCAGGTGAGTATGTAGAGCCCATTGGGAGGAGAAGTGAGATTATTAGAGCTTCAGGGGCCACTTCATGCATGACTGAGGTTAAAGTTTGTAATTAGCATAATGGTAGCACAATGCAGATGGAGATTCTGGAGACCCATATGGTGCCAGGCATTAAACCTACACATGCATGACTGTGGGCAAGTGTTGAAGTGTGGGGGCTGGGTTCACTCAGGCATTGGACTGAGGTTTATTGTCAAGGGACACAGTATTTCCAGGGCATGAAAAGTAGCCCCAGGCCAGTGACTGCTGCTCAGTGTGAGTCCTGGGCTAAGAGATGAGGCATCTCCCCAGCCTGGGCCGGACAAGCTGAAGCAGCCCCACAGGGACACGTACTGCGGTCTCACCCAGGAAGGCCTTCCCTCCCCCAGGAGGAATTGGGAAGGTGTGGATGTGTGTGTTGAATGTGGTCCCCCATGTGGAAGGGTCCTACTCAACATGCTGTGTGCTTTGCCTTCAGCATGAACCCAGAACTGCAGGTGGATTTCCACACTGAAGCGAACAAAACCATCGCCTTCCATTTCCGAGTGCGCTTTGGCAACTGTGTGGTGATGAACAGCCGTCAGGGTGGGACATGGGGTGAAGAAGTGAAATCCACTGATATGCCCTTTAAGGATGGCCAACCCTTTGAACTGGGCATCTTGGTACTGTCAACGGTTAAAATGTGCATATAAGTAATTATAATCAGTCTAAAATTAAGTCTTTCCTACATTACCAAACCCATTCATTCTATCCAGAGCAACAATTACTAATTCCTTTATGCTCCTTCCAGAGACACTATATGCTTGTTCAAGTCTATGTATCTGTCTATCTATCTATCTATCTACCTATTATTTATCTCTGTCTCCTTTTATTTTTAAACGAATGATGCTATAAGTTTCTCTAGAAATCACACATTGATACTAGATTTCATTTGTTGTCAAAGAATGTGTGTTAGAGAAACTAACATCATGCTATTTGTGATGCCCCCACGTTATTTAGTGTTTGCATAGTATTTCAATAGAAGCATCTTCAGAATAATTTAACTTGACCCTTATTCATGCACATTTAGGTGGTTTCCATATTTTTCTTTCATGAATAATGCTTCATTCTATATCACATTTTTGTCATTATCAACCTCCCTATTCTTATAAGGGAGGATAATTTCAGAGGAATTGAATATCTGGTTCAAAAAGGGTATGCATTTTAAATTTGAAAAATTAAGACCTAATAAGTCCACTTTTACTCCATAGCCACACCCATGAAGTGTATGTTTAATCCTTCTATCATTGGAGAAGCAAAAAAATGTAATGTCCTATGATTGAAGTGAGGCATTAGTCCATTTGCTTATAAGCTGAATAAAAATATCCTCATCTTAATCATATGTACTATTCCTCCTCTTTAGGAACATTCAAGTTTAGGCCTTCACACTGGAGGTTCCCAGGTTGGTTTCTCCATCAAGGGCATGTATCTAGATTGCAGGTTCAATCCCCTGCCCCAAGGGGGTACATGAGGAGGCAACCAATTGAGTTTCATCTCTCTCTCTCTCTCTAGCTCTCTCTCTCTCTTTCTCTGTCACTCTCTCTCATCTCTCTCTCTTTCTACTCTCCCCCCTTCCTTCCATTCTCGCTCTATAAAAAAAGGGAAAAAAAAGAATTTTATTCTTTACATTTACAACCCCAGTCTGAGCTACTTGGTCACCAGGAGTAAATGGCAGTAAAGTTTAGCAGAGCTAAAACGAAGGCACTGAATACACACTTAATGGCCAATTAGCCTATGATACTCTGTGCAAGACCCAGACTCACGATTCATGAAACAGTTCCTGGCCAGAGGGAAGCCCAGGCAAACATAGACAGTGCAACACAGAGTGCTAACACCTCAGTAGAAGAATGAGAGAAGCAGAAAATAGGGTGAATATGTGTCGGAAATCATCGCTAAAGGTAGGCTATAAAAAGAAGCATGTCTGTTGTGTTTTTTGTTTTGTTTTGTTTTTTAATCTTTAAATTCTTTATTGATTAAGGTATTACATATGTAACTCATTCCCCCCACAAATCCCGCGCCCCCACTCATGCCCTCGCCCTCTGTTGTCTGTGTCCATTGGTGGTTGTGTGACTAGAAGTTTCTGGTGGATGGTGAGTGTATAGGGCAGGAAAGGAAAGGAAGACAGGAAGTTTGTTTGGTAGCATCCTATATTTCTGACACATATTCTCTTTCAGGTAATAGTAAATGGCTGCCAATGTTATACTTTTCCCCATCGACTTGACCCAGCATCTGTGAAGATGATCCAGGTGTGGAGAGATGTCTCTCTGACCTCAGTGACGTTCACTTAGAGAAGGATGTGACCAGACTCCCCGTTGTCAAGGAGATCCCTCCACCTAAATGACTCTATGATTCCCAGAGCTCACTGACAACATGGGTTCTCACCCTCCCCCTACGCTTACTCATTAAAACTCCTGAAAACAGAAAAAGATTTGCTTCTTGCTTTAGAGGGGAAAAGAGAGAGGGAAAAAGAGTATGTGGTTATCACCAAGAGGGGTGTGAGAATATTGTGGGAGAGAACAGGGTGTCAAAGTGGATAAACATTTCTCTGCGACAAGGAGTGAGTGTCAGGCTCATGAAATATCTGAGAAGGCATGGGAACCATATTCCTATGATGTAGTGCTTGGGATATGTTAGAAACTCTGAAGCAAAATCCTTCCCCAATTTCAGATAACTCAACTAAGACTTTAGGCATCTGTCTGCACAATAGTGCTATAATTGGTGGTTTGGGGAGAAAACTATGTGCTTGGAAGAAAATCAGGTGAAAAGTCTTAATTCTTCATTTATGCTCAGGATGTTTAGTATATATTGACACTGTGTCTGGTTTTGTGTAAGATGCACTGGGAAAAATGAAGAAAATGACAAGGCCAGCACTTAATAAAATTTTTTAATCCTCAACTGAGAATATATTTTTATTGATTTTCAGAGAGAGAGAGAGAGAGAGAGAGAGAGATCAATGATGAGAGAGAATCATTGACTGGCTGCCTCCTGCACACTCCCCCTCACCCCCACTGGGGATGTGCCTTCTTCCCATCAATGAAATAGAAACATCAATTGGTTGTCTTTCATATGTGCCCTGACTGGAAGCCGAATTGCAACATATTGGTGTACAGGATGATGTTCCAACCAACTGAGCCACCCGGCCAGGGTACACTTACAAAATTGTAATCCAAGGACTATTGGAAGAACCAAAAAGATTTGCCCCCAAAGATTATTCTATTAATCAAACAATTGCTATATTTTTCCAATTTATGTGGGCAGAAGCCTGGGGCATGTTTCGTAATGAATTGTCACCATTTTAGACCAGGGAGGATAAAATTTGTTATTAAAACAAGAATAATCTATACACCTGGATGCAGTGACCAGACTCTGGTTTTAATGTCATCCCACTCAATCATTACAGAATAACAAACTTCCCCAAAGATATTGGTTTAAAACAATAATTTATATTATCTCTTCAGTTTGGCAGGTTTACTGCACTCATATGGGTAGTGTACCATGTGGCCTTAATCAAATTGCCTTGGGAAGGGAAGTTTTCTGATGGATGCTTTCCTCATGTCTGACACTTCACTTGGATTGGTCTGGCCAGTTATTTCTCTCTTCACATGACCTTCATGGTCGTCTTAGACTTCTTCAAATCAAAGAGGTCCCAGGGGTTTGGGATTTAATGAATGGTGACTGGCCTCTGCCACAGAGAACCCTTGAGAAAGCTGAAACAGAAGGTGCAAAGTGTAATGGGACCCAGCTCTAGAAGTCATGCAGCGTCACTCCCATCACATCCTATTGTTCAAACGTGAGTCAGAGAGACGGCCACAATCATGTGGAGAAGACTACACTAGGGCATGGGTATGTTGACTTGTGATTCATGGCAGGTCGTCCTGGTCAAGTACTTTCCACCATCAGGCTCCAGAGACGTTCACACTTGCCGCATACCCCAAACTGTGATCACTGTCCAAGCAATTGCCAAGTGTAACATAATAACAGCAACAAGCTCAAGACAGAAGTTCAGGATTTCTCCATTTAAACCGGGAGTTGAGGTTCACGAAGCGAACTGAGTAAAACTTCTCAGGTGCAGTTCTTTTCAATATGTGCACTAATGGGGCAAAATACCTCATACATGCCGAACCTACACGCTGAAACAGACACAGAATAAATGCAATTCACATTTTCAGAGGCAGCAATAGGAGATGTATAGCAGCCGCAACTTCATATCACATAGGACACCCAGTCAGGCTCATATCTACCCTTCTCTCTAGGACTGTTTTCTCTGTAGTGATTGAGTCCACCCTCCATTCTCAGCTTCTTTGAGTTCTTGCCAAGATGTCAGAACGACCACTCCAGGGGCTCTGATTGATCACCAGCTTCTTAGCAAGTCGAGAGAACCACTTAGCAGACACACTACTCAGAAGATGCTATTCCTAAAAGCATACCAGGGCAGATTTAAGAAAGTGGGGAGGAGGGGGTCACTGAGGGGAAAAGGGAGGCATCTGTAATACTTTCAAAAACAAAGATAAAAATAAAACAGAGCCTGTTTTAAAACAAAGGAAAGTCTTCTGGAAATAGCCTCTTTGTCCACAAGGACTACCTCAGGCATCAGTCATGTCATCTCTCTCCATGACCATTGCCACAGCCTCTTCTTCAACTCCAACCTTACTAACTGGAATAATTCTTTCTTAGGCTTCCTCCAACCTAACATCCAGAAACCTTGAAGTGGGAACACATTGCTAACGGCGCTCTTCAGGCCTTTCTTCTGTGTAGAGAGCGCCTGGGGGGCAACTGAGCCAAGGGTCCTTGACTGAGTCCAGCAGCTTCGGCAAAGCCATGCCATGGTGACATATGTTGCCAAAGTCAGGGATGTCGTCAGTCCTGACCTTTAACTCAGACGTCACGGGGTGGGTGTAATTATCTGAGATCAGCCAGATGCTGATCTTAGAATTGCAGCTTGATCTTTAACCATGATTTCACATAATTTCCTTTGTCTTAAACTCTAGTAAAACTTCCTGGTACCTACCATGCTGTATCTAATAAACGTGCTTCTCTAGCTCTGGGTCACTGTCTCTCCATCAGAGGGCAGTGTCCCACCTGGTCCCAGTTTTCCTTACTGTCTCTGTGTCTGTTTAATTCTTTTTCTCAATTCCCCATCACCCCTACTCATGACTCATCTGCTCTCTAGCAATGCTGGTCGCAACTAAGAGAGAACACTTATACTTCTGGGTTTCGTTTCATATTGGAGTGAAATGTCCCCTCAGCAATATCCATAACTCTTGAGCTTTGATTAGACACAATCTCCTCCTTTCACCTTCTTTGTCTTAATCTTAATCACTTCTCTCTCTCTCTCTCTCTCTCTCTCTCTCTCTCTCTCTCTCTCTCGTTAATCTTCACCCGAGTATATTTTATGCCATTGATTTTTTAGAGAAAGGGGAATACCTAGACAATCCTACCTGGTGGCCCTGCTAAATGAACTCGCAATAATTGCCCTTTTTTGGAATGATATTTGCAACTCAGTCCACTTCACGTGGATTATTATACCCCTCTTTATCAGCTTTGTGCTCATAGTGGCCAGGAGTGATGTCTCAGATACTAAGATATGGTATAGACAGTCCAGGCTTCAGTGTTCAATAAGAAATCTTTGGAGTACCTCTGAGGACTTCCCCAGACCCCATTTTTCTCAATCCTCCTCCATGCAAATCTCCCAGCAGACAAGGCATATCTCAGAGAATAGAAAGACCTTCTTATTCCCTAAAGCCTTCTCTTCTCAGTGTCTTTTGCTTGTCCATGACTGACATGACACCTTCAAAACAGTAAGTTCTGGGTCTTTGGCCTTATTTCCATTCCTCTCCATCTACCAATTCTCTTTGTTACCTGGTATCTCAGGTATTCTATGAGTGACAGCAAAACTCTAAATTTGGATTGTTATAGATGAATTGTCCACTACACATCAAATTTTTTAAAATTGTTTTATTGCTTAAAGCATTACAAAGGGTATTACATATGTCTCCTTTTTTCCCCCACCCTTGACAATCCCCTGGCTTCCCCTACCCCCCAGTGTCTTATGTCCATTGGTTATGCTTATATGCATGCATATAAGTCCTTCAGTTGATCTCTTACCCTCCCCCTTCTGCCCCCCGACTCTACCTGGCCTTCCCGCTGCAGTTTGACAATCTGTTTGAGGCAGCTCTGCCTCTGTATTTATTTTTGTTCATAAGTTTATAATGGTCTTTGTTATCCATGAATGAGTGAGATCATGTGGTATTTTTCCTTCATTGACTGGCTTATTTCACTTAGCATAATGCTCTCCAGTTCCATGCCTGCCGTTGCAAATGGTAA